TGCTTACGTGGAGCCTTTCCTCCAGTAGATTTACGAGCTGTCTGCTTGGTACGAGCCATTGTCAACTATGTCTAAATAAGGGAAAAAGTCGATTATTTTCTATATACATAAATTTCGAGTTAAAAATGGAGACTTATTTCAAAAACATATTATTACATAAGCTCGGTGTAAATATTGATAAGGTTACGAAGGAAAAAAAAACTACTTTAAATAGCTCTGATACGAAAAGCGCAATTTAAAAAAAATCGACGGAAGTAATAACATAAGTTAAGTTGACAGCAATTGATCGCGTTCAATACGAAAATAACATACAAGGAAATCGATTAAAGTAAAAGTAAGCCACAGTGCTACAGTGAACCGAGTCAAAGTTCGATGTAATATAATTGTTCGACTGTACGTGTAAATAGCGATGCTACCCAAGCGAATAAGAAGCAAAAAGAACCGGAAAAATGAACCCTCAAACGATTACACGAAACGATACACAAATGCAATCAACGGTTTTTTCATCAGTAGGAGACAAAGCCGCCACACACCAATGCAATTGCACAAGTACAACAAATCATGTTCAAACATGTTTGGTTGAAACATTTTCGTTATTTTAACGAATCGGAGAGAAAAGAGAATCGAGGAACACTATAGATGAGTCATTATGACGAAATCAAAATTGGGGAACTCAGTAAAAAACAATTATCTCATTCACCAATTCAAATGAAAAGGAATGAATTGATTAAATCGGTCAATCAATAGAAAATTCTCCGAAAATACTGAATAAGCTGATTTTTTAAAATACTTTCTTTGCCAAGAATAAAAGGTTTTACGGAAAATCACTTGAAATTTACGACCATGTAAATCGTTCATTTGCATGTGATGCGCGAGTGAAAAAATGTAGCTTGGAATCTACGAAATCGTCGGATTAAAATATTAAAAGTTCTTAGCATGTACTCCCTCCTGTTCTCTAAAGTCATCATCGTGCACACGCGCATATTTATCTGTTCAAAAATCGTTGCCCTCGACACAAACACATTCATGTGCCGCACAAATAGTGCACTCAAAATTTTGATGTTGTGTCTGCATTTGCGTGACTGTACCTCGACCACTTTTGTTTGCAATGCGAATAAGGTAGACGAAATTTCAAATGACATTGTAATTTACCTCAACTTTGAACGAAACATCTATGTTTTTTATGATTGGCAAAAAAACCATTGTTTACATATGCATTGAGTGTTTAATGGTAATTTTCCGAAGATTTCATTGAAAATGAGTTAAAATAAAATTGAAACGATTATAATTCTTGCATTGTGCATTGGCCCAGATATATGAGCTACAGTCATATAGAACACAACAACATTAGAGCCATATATTGATGGTATCATAATCACCGTATTGAACAGAATGTACGAACGAAACAAAAAAATAACAACACAGTGAATAAAAAAACAACGGTGTGAATGTATAATTGTGCGAAATGTGTGAAATTGCGTGGAGTGGGGGAGCCTCCGAAGCTGATATACTACGTAATTAATATTTTCAAATTACAATTCGCGTGCCCCATACAAAACACACTCGAATATATACATATCAAAGTGCCCATAGCACGACACACATATCTTCGGTCCAAACGACAGTATGCAATAAACAAGATGGCGACGGATGCCACAATAACGAACAATAGCGTTCGGAGGAGCGGAAAAATCTATTTTTCAAATAAATAGCATTCTCTATTTTTTCGGGCGAAAATATCTACCATTTCATACCAAATTTTTTGAAAACAAATTTTTCCTCACACTTTTTTAAAACACGTTTGGAATACAAAAAAAAAATTGATCGAAAAAAAAATTCACGAAACTATTCGTCACAAAGTGATTTCACAGTACACACAAAAAAATGAAATTTCGCTTCAATTCACTTACCTTTTGGAAAAATGTATTACTGTTTCGCGGGATTATGACGCACACACACGTTTGGTCTGTTGTCAACAATAGTGTTTATTTACGCGGGATGAACACGAGTTCTTTGCTGTTTACGCTATGAACTGAGAACATAAAATGAGAGAAACTCAACAACAAACCAGCTTTTAATGGTATTTGAAAACACATGTTGAGAGAGCATCAAATATTTTACATTCCACTCTCTCGTTACAACTATCTTGGTCCCTTTCGCACTCATTTTATGTATATTGCGTGCATTGGTTTTTCTCATACACTCTCGGCAGGCTTTCTCTCTTTCTCTGCTCGCTCTCCCTCTCTATTTGTTTCTGTTTCTCTTTTGTTCTGCTCATTTTCAACACATCATTCGAATTAGACTGAGAGAGCAAAGCATTTGGTGAAAAACAATCCTTTCACAATACTGTTTTGGCAGGAATTAACGCCATCTAGTACAATAAAGTGGAAGCCAACGTTTTCGAATGATTTTACAACGTTGAATGGCGTGGTTTCATATCACTATTTCAAATACCTTACTTAATATAACTTTTCTTCATTTTTTTTTTTTTTTGAATTTTCCGAAAAAGAAATAAGCGTGTTAAAAAATTTCAATGATTTTAAAATAAAAATCACAATTTCAGCGGAAAAATATTTTATTATATACTTTATTAAATAAATTTCATGAAAAAAGGCATTAGCCTTGAATCAATATAACATTTTTTCTGTCTTAAAATAAAACAAATTCCTTTTTATTCAAGAATATATACAAAAACAATGGGCCAAAATGTTCCGAACTCGGAAAAACTATATGTATTATTTCAAATTATTATTGTCGAATCAAATGTAATCGCTTATTTACAAAAGACTTCTTTGGACGTTTTAAATTGTTTGCATGTTATCTTTCATTCAGTTATTTTAATTGTGAATGGATATTTTAAACAAGATTGAATTGTTTATACGAAGTTGCTCCAACTAAAAATGCTATTGATTTTCCGTTTGATGGCTTGATCTGAACAAGTGTTTCCATATTCGAAATTCCAAAAACAATAACAGGCAATCAATTTTCCAACGAAAAAATAAAAGTCACCATTTTGTTGATTTTATTTTCATAACAAATTTATTTTTATTTAAAAAAATCTTTAATTTACTAAGTAGTTTGAAAAATTCTAAGCTAAACTCTAGTATTGCAAATAAATCTTTGATTCCGTTATTAGTTCGTCATTTGACGAAATCAACATTTTTTTGTAAAACTGATATGGGAAGTACAAATGTGCTGAAAATGGTTCTCAACGCGATTGGTGAGGAGATATAAAACAAAACGATCAACCATTTATAAATGAAAAGAATAGAGTTATTCTTAAATGATAAAAAAATATGTTCTAGAAATTAATGAAGCCATAAAATTAACCGCAATAATTTGGGCAAAGGAAATAACATTCTAATTTTGAATAAGTAGAAAGCATAAAATCACAGAGCTGAGGCCTTGCAAAAGTGTAGTAAATCTAAAAGCATGCGTGTGGTGAATAATCATTGTAAATTTAGTCGAATCTTCAATGTTGAAATTACTTTATCTTTATTCAACTCATTGAATGTAAATTGTATAAATGGTCAATCGATAAAAAAATTGTAATATTTATATAAGCAATATAATGGATATAATCAATTGTTTATTATAATAGATTTTTTGATTCGATGTATCTGTCCGTTCAATGCAAAACAAAAGATATAGAAATTGTAATTCGATATACAGCGTGTGAATTCTCTATAAATTATAAATCTATATAAATCAGTGATACTCAATGAAAATCGGCAATAATAAATGTTCACTTAATCGCTAAAAATACAAATCATTCCTTTTTTTATATAGCATTATGACTCGCTGTGTTTTCATTTTCCAATAGTGTTTTTTTTTTCATTTATTTTCCACTTAAAATCTTAAAACTGTTTCGCGTGCTCGTTCGCTCACTCTCGTCTCATCCAATCAAACTCAATCGGCTGTTTGTCTTTCGTAGTTGGGCTCGCCATGGGATTATGTTGTCCGGTTCGTCGTCACTAGCTTTGTGTAAATTATCGGTTGATGCATTAATTGGTGTGTTATGGTTGTTGTTGTTGATGTTGGTGTTGGTGGTGATGGTAGTAGTGGTGGTTGTAATTGTATTGGACGTTTGGTTATTATTAATTGTGTTATGATTGTTGTTGTTGTTTCGAATGTCATCGTTGTTAGTTTTATGATTGCTATTGTTATTGTTATTGTTATGATAATTATTGGAATTATGGTTAATATGTGATGAATGATTTGAGTTATTTAATGTTGAGAAATTGCTATTAATATCCTTGGATGCGGAGTTATGTCGGTCCTCCATTGCGCTGGTTATAAAGCTAATATTGTCAATTGAAACGGCACGTTGCGCTTGACGCATATGCCATGATTCCGACAGGCGAACGGACGTTTCTTCTACTTTGGGAGTATAAAGCGCAGCTCTGGATTCACACAAAATTGAAACCAATTTTGAATTTTCAAACAAATTTTGAGTAACCCCAATAAGCAATACCGGATATGTAAACAAAGAGAAAGAAAGAAAGAGAGTGAGAGAAACAATAGATGTTTTCGTTAGTTTCAACAAGCACACCACAGGGTCTTCATATTTATATACATAATATTCATATTAATATCAAACAAATAGAATGTAGACAATTACTTGAGCTTGTTTTCGGCTTCTTCACGTCGTGCCAATAGGTCACGCTTCCATTGTGGAATTGCCGACAAACGTCGATCTTCAGCTTCTTTGATCATTCGCACCTCAAACTCTTTTTTAGCACGCTCAGCTGCTTTCTTTGCCAACATTTGACGCTTCCAATCCGGTATTACGTTGCCCGCATTATCTTTCTCAGGAACCTAATGTGCGAAGAAATGTTGATGATTAATCTTAATTGAAAACTGGATTGAATTTTAAACAAAATCATCTACAAAAAAAAAAACACATTTCAAAAATTAAGATTGAAACCATTGAAAGAAAACAGTCACGCGATCCCATCATTCTACACATGTTAATTAAAATTTCACAAAATGTGCAAAATAAAAAAATAAAACACTTTTCAATCGTGCCATACCGTTTCGACAAAATGTGTTGCTGTAAATTGTTTGGTAATGTCTGTGTACGCGTCTTTGTCATACGATCCTTCCATTTTTGCCTTTTCTACTTTCATTTTTCGAATGCCATTGATGTCTTTTGACATTTTCAATTCAGCGATAAGGTCAGTTTTTTGCGATAAAAATGCTTCATTGGTCGATGATAAGCATTGCATGCTCATGCTTCGTGTTGGTGTTGAAAATGTTTTTGCTAACGGTTTATTTTCGATGCGTCGAAGCTGAACTGAGTTTAGATCCTGTATGGAAATAGCAGAGAGTGGTTGTTGTTGTTTGCGTGTGGCTGTATCTTGGGGCGGAGGTGGTGCTGGTATATTACTAGTTGTGCTGTTGAGTGTGTTTGTCTTGGAGTTTTGACCGTTTGATTCGCCATTTGTGGTTGGAATTGCAGCAATTGGTGGTGGCAATGGCGGCGGTCTTGGCGGCTCCGGACAAACCGTTTGATTCGATGCTAATTCAATTTTCATATAGTCTTCTGTATCTGTTGACCTGTTAATATTCACACATTCAATTAAATTATTTCATTATCTCTCAATGAGTTCATTTAACCAATTCAACACTAATGATGTTGGAATTAACTCTGGAAAAAGGTGTCGAAATGCATGCGATTTCAATTCACGAAGTTCATTGCTTCATGCTATTTTACTCTGTGATGATGTTATTTTTCATGATGAAAGAGAGTCGAAAGGGAGAAAGAAAGAGAAGAAGAAAATGAAAAAAAATTGTTTTCGCTTCGGGTATAAAATTTGTAACACCACCGTTTATTTCCGGTCTGATAATTTTTCGTTTGCACTGACCTCCTCTTTCATTCGTTCGCATCTTCATCTCATGTATTGTATGCTTTGCGAACATTTCTAACATCGCTACTGTATTCACCATATGTATATATCACAAAATACCATTCGTTACTTCAACTACTGCTGATTTTGCTGATTCATTTATTTTCACTGTAGATTTGCTTTGGTCTTTTTTCTATAATCGATAATAGATTGAGAGAGGAAAAAAATATTCCATGGACGCTTTTCGCACTTACCAAATGTAAATAAGTCAAAAAGTTGGAGCGAACGATTGAAAGAAAGATCTTTTATTTATGAGACCTCAATCGAAGTAACATTTTTAAATAAATTTAATCAAAGTAATAATGAAAACAAAACTCGAAATTGATGAAATTCCAGAAAAAAAAACACAGAGAAAAAAATCCAAGTTTGTGAAAAAGAAACTTAAAAAAAGTTGAGATCCGAAGATTCAGGGAAAGTAACAATTTTTAACTTTAAACTGACTTTAATTTAATAGATTTAAACCAAATCACAGCACTTCGACACCTCAAAACTTTTATTTTTATCAAAACTCACCGTGCAGAAGAAGCTGATGATCGTTTATCACTAATGCTTTTCAAATATTCGGATGGTTTGATTAGGTGATTTGATCCGTCTGGTGAACCATTTGGAAAGCTCGGCGGTACGAACGGTAGAACGAGTTGTTTGTTCACCAAATTCGGTCCGTTTGATCTAGATTGAATGTTTGTTTGTCCTTGTGTTAATGCTGCTGCAGCAGATGATGCACAATATTGTGCTTGATACGGTTGATATTCGTCGGATGATGAAGCACTACCACCGCCGCCGTTACTATTTTGATGTTGTAGTGACGACGTTGTACCATTGATAAGCCGTGCTTTCTTGTTTGCTGTTGAAACGGATGTGAACATTAAAAACCCACCAACGAAATACACAACGGTGTATCATTTAAAATTACACAAAAAATAAATCGCACACAGAATAAATATATAAACGACAACGAAACTCAGCAAATTAACGAACAAAACATAAATTAACGGAACAATTTTGTATAGAGAAATCGACTCATTTAAGATCTAATAGACACGCAGAGATAGCGATGAAACCAAACTAAAGTGATTGATTTGCGGTTGCCGAATGGAAAACTGAATTGAAAAGGGCTGTGGAGAAAAAAACGGTAGCTCGAAGGCATGGACGCGCGGAGCGTCAACTAAGCGAATAAAGAGCGTTATGCGAGAGAAAGAGTGTGTCTGTGTGAGAGAGAAAATGGCCGGATAGCTGAATAGCACGATCAATATTGAGTAGTGATCGTTTCGTCTCTGTTTCGAATGTGAACTAGAAATGGACTTTCAGCTTTCTTCTTCGTCAATCCAATCGGATGCATTGGCGTGGGTGTTTGTTGTCTTGCGTGCGAATGAGTGTGAATGAGCGAGCGAATGTGCTTGCGTTTCTCGCAAAAATGTGTGAAAGATTATATTAAATGGCTTTTCGAACGATACAGATATGCAATAAGGCCCCCATTGTCATGCGCAGCTGCACGCGTTCTTATATCGTTCTGATTCACGGCTGCATGCATGCGATGCTGTTTAGTCGAGATTGCCTTTTATATTGTCTATACAGACTCTCAGTTGTAAATGCAATTCTATACGTAAACGAATAAGCAAAAAAAAAACATGTATAATTAAATATACACAAATCTCATCATCCGACAAACCATTCGATTTGCGCAAAGCGGACACAGTCGGAGAAGGAAGGAAGAAACAGCACAGAAAACACACAAACACACACTCAGTCTAAACTGTCTAGTTATGACAAAAAAACAACAACAACAACGAGAATAGATAAAAAGTAAATATAAAGAGACTCAAAAAGAGGAATAATTCATGTAATTAATGCAGTAGAGCACATCAAAATTATACTTTTCAAAGTATTTTCTTCACTCTTTCTCTTTTCCATATGCCTTGCCATTCGAAATGAAACGAAGAGAACGATAGCGAAGAGAAACAAAAATAAAATAAATACCAAAAACAACAAACGATACTCAATGGTTTTCAACAAGCTACTGTAATGAACTGAATATAAACAATAAACATGCAAGCGCGTGCGCGCACACATATCACTATTTTGTTGATTAAATTACTAATTAATTGAATCACAAAAGCGATACAAATCATTCGATCCATATTTTCAAGAGGTTAAGTGAATCATATATTCATTCTAATGCGCTCCACCGTTCGATCATCGATGCCCATTTCCTTACGGTTTACACATGCATTCACAACGTCCGTCGTTCAGTTTTATAAACTAATAAAGTTGTTAGTTTTGCTTGGGCTCAGAAACAAAGAAAAGTTACCCGAATGCAATATAAGCATAAAAAAGTAGACGGCGATCGCGAGAAAAAAATCTTATGCAAAATATGATCCCCGGGCTATAAAATGACTGCACGAAAATAATTCGACTGATAGTGATCACCGTTTTTTTATTGTTTGCCAAAGATGAGCATCAAATAAAGAAAATTGGAGTTTGGCGAAGAAATCTTGCATGCAATAAAATACCGCCGCCACCGCCGCCGAAAGGCAATTATTGGTTTGATGTAAGCACGATATGACTGTTATCTCACTGGTATAGTTTACTTAATGCCATCCCTTCTCTCTCGATCTCTATTCATGTTCAAACACTGTGTGTAGGCTTTGAAAACTTTCTCTGCGCAGCAATAATTTTTTATCAACGAATTTTTCCACAATATTATCAGATGCTTTTTCAATCATGAAAACTCCACATTATTCCATTCTGATTCGCAAAACGAATCAACCAAAATTGAGCCAAATTAGTGGATCATTTTTTTTTTTGATAACCGCTTTTTGTGGGTTTTCTTATGTGCAATGTCGAAATATTTTGTAATTTTATATGGAATGTCTGTTAAATTATTAATTCTTATGGACACGGAACCACATTGGGTTTTTGATTTTGAGCAGACAATATATTTAGCTGTCGTCATCTGGATATTACAGCTCATCTGGATATCGTCAGCAGATGATACGAAGTGAAAACAATAGAAGTGATTGTTATAGGTATATAAGCTTGTTATATACTGGTATTACTATAACAATCACTTCTATTGTTTTCACTTCGCATCATCTGCTGACGGCATCCAGATGAGCTGAGATATCCAGATGACGGCAGCCAAATATATTGTCTGATTTTGAGACGTGCACAAAAATGTTGTTGCAGCAAATCATTAAAAAACCGTTCGATTGGATACTTTGTGCTGTATAGCATTCAGGTGACCACAAAACCATTCACTGAAACATGTGTAAATTAAACCGCATATCAAGTGACAATCAAAACAAGACTTGTCATGACTCATGATAGCTATTTTCACAAGTCGATTGAAGTGAAACGACCAGAAACATTGCCCGTTCCGATTATAATCGGACATGTAATTAAATATTGAATACTATCATCGTGAATGTTTTTTTTAATAAAAGAAAATGTATACTCTTAATTCTAAGCGATATATTAATATTTATGACACATAATTTATGATTTGTAAGTCGTAAATTATGATGTTTCCAATTCTAATATGAAAATGATAATTTTGTCTCTTGAATTTATTCATGTAATGATAAATGTTATTAGCTTACCGGAAATGGTTGACATAGTTCGATTGTGATTTCCTCGAACTAGTTCAGACGGTCTTAGTGTTGGTTCTTCAACAACTTCTAAGCCAAAATCTGAATCAATTTCATCGGAATCACGGTCGTTCCCATTGATCGGGACGCTTTCAGCCGATGAACTACTTTGCGATGCTTCTGTCACATTATTCTGCATTGATGCTAAACTATTTGCCTGACTTGACGCCTTCAGTGGTGGCGGTAAAGGTGGTGGTGGTGGGCCAGTAACTATTTTCAATAAAAATTATATTTTTATTCATGTTTTGGGCTCAAAGACCTTTTTTTGGAAAAGGAGAGTTTTAGATGGTTTTAGTAATTTTGTAAATTTTGATTTCCTTTTCAAACCCATTTTTTTCCTTTTTGGAACCTTTTTTCAAAATATTTTTTTTTTTTTTAATAATTTGATTTTTTTTTTTTCGAAAGAAACAATTTCCAAATCAATGCCAAATAAGGTGGAAAAAGAATTCGAGAAAAATTCATTGACCTCGCTCATGTCTGCTTTATTTGAGAATAGAAAAAAAAAGATGTTTACAATTGTCATTATCAAATGCGTGAGTGACAAATAGAGAAATTTATCGATTTCAATGTGAAAATATGTACAAGTTTGTAGATAAACCGGTTCTAACTGACTACTTTTTCTGTTACAATGTTGTCACACTCAATAGAATGGAGAAAAGAGATGAGGAGATGGACAGAAGAGGGGAACGACAAACAGAGAGGAAAATAATTACCTTTCGTCGTCTCAATTGTTGCAACAGGAGCCGAAATGACTCGTTTTAAAACGCGATTATTGTTGTTACCACTGCAATTAGCATTCGATGGCATTGAACTGTTTGACATATGAGCGTTTGTTGTGGAAATTGTGTTATTGACCGCGATCGAATGTCTTTGTGCCATTTTAGTGCGTTCGGCCGTATCTTCTGGCGAACACACACTTTCGTACGTATCATTTTTCAATTGATTATTGTTGATCAATACGTTATTATTTGATTTTTGACCGATGGCATTGTTATTGCTCACCATGTTGTTCAATTGCGTGTCAGTAGATTTTTTTGGATTTTCATACTTGCCTTTATTTGATTCGTTCAGTTTATTTTTCTTGGTCACCAAATTGTCACGATTATTCTGTTGAAAAAATGAAAAAAAAAACATTAAATTGATTCGAATAACATAAGAGAAAGTGTTTTAATTACATTGGCCGCATATTGGACGACAATATCAGCGCTATGATTTGAACTAGCACTTGCCGATCGGCTATGTGATCCACTGTCACGTGATCGACTGCGTCCTGGTCCGTATTTGGTTTTAGTTGTAGTACGTGCTTCTTCGCGCACCAAATAAATGTCTTCGTAATCATGTTGTTCGACCAAATTATTATTGACAACATTGTTTGTGCTCGGTGATCCATTTCTAGATGCGATTTTCTGTTGCAGTTCATCCGAACCCGATGAAACCGATAGGCTTTCATCACTTCCGCTGCCAGCTCCACTGCTACTCGAATGCACCTCCACTTGAACGGTCATCGCGTTTGGTGGATGCATTTTCGAACCATTCACAACGACATTTGGTGTGCCACCATTACTGCTATCGTTCGAGCTATCCTTGTGACTGCCACCACTGTCCGAGTCAAATAAATCTTTGACACGATTGTAAATGACCTCTTGTGGGTCATGCAAATAAAATGATTCGCCCGATACGCTTCCATTTGGACTGGGTGATGTTAACGCACCATTTCGCATTGGATTTATATAAAGACCATCATTTGGAACACCATAAATTTCTGGTGGCGATGATGAATTTCGCGCATTTGCCGCACCATAAATGTTATCTTGTGATTGACGAATACTTGGCGGATGCAAATAAAATGGTTCCGTGTCAGAGCTTCCAGTCGACGATTTTGACATTAACGTATTATGCGATGACGTAGACATTTTCTTGTGATACGATCCTTTTGATGATTTTGATGCGGTTTTGGTGCGTGAACCATTCACGCTATTCATATTCGAATCCATATATTCAGCAGCTGTGCCATGTTGAACAAGAGCATTTAGACACTGTAACCAAGAGAAAAAATCGAAAAAATTTCAATTTCACTATTCTTTGACAAAACAAAATAGAAAACTGGAAGCGAAAGCTTGTTCTTAAAGGTTCTTCTTACCTCAACTTGTTGGTTTTCGGCAGCATCGTTAATCGGACTTTTACCGTATTTGTCAAGTGACAATTTAGCACCATAGCTTAACAACCAACGTACACATGACAAATGACCTCGAGATGCCGCAAAATGCAGCTAAATATAAATAAAAACATTAAATTAAAAGAAATAAAATTAAATAAAAAAGGAAAACTAACTGGAGTCGCTCCATCGCCATCACGTAAATTTAGATCGACACCTTGATCTTCGACCTGAAACAACAAAACAAAAAGTTGTCATCGTTGAAATCAAAATTAAAATGAGAACGGCGACCTTGACTACTTTTTATTTTACTTTTTCTAATACGGTTTTTTGTGCATTTTATGCGTAAATTTGTGAAAAAATTGAATGAAGATAATCGAGAAAGATGATGAATGTATTCAAATTCTTGAAATAATCGAGAGAAAATTGTATGACGCTTTGAAAAGAGAAACACATTGAGGAAATCATTTCTTCATCTGAAGAAAGTCAGTCATACTTGATCAAGAACCAGTTCTTGTTGGCCTTCGTCGCATCGCATGCAAACAGCTCAACAGTATTCAATTCAAAGTGAAGAAGAATAAAAACTAACTCGATGACAGCACGTTATGTTTGTGACACCATTACCGCTTTTATTTCTTTAGTTTTTCTCTCTCTACATTCTTTCTAATCGTCGATGATGATAAAAGAATGGGCACACTCAACACTTTGCAATCGAACGACATAATTATTTTAACTAGACTATTCAGAGAGATTGAGAAACATTGGTTTTTGCATTTAAAAAACTAAAAACCTCGTATTGAGCACAATAGATTGACGATTATTTGTTAGATTTGTTTGATCAAAATTTAAAAAAGCAGCACTTACCATCCATTTCAAGCAATCCAAAAAGCCCATTTGAGCAGATGCATGAATCGGCGCCATTCCATCACGTGCACGAACATACAGCGAACCGCCAGCCTCAAGTACGAGAAATTTTAATACCTCTAAATGTCCCTCTTGCGCAGCGAGATACACTGGGGTCACATCATTGATATCCATTTGTGTGTTTGCACTATGACAAAGACAAAAAATTACAATAAATACAATAAAATTAGCTTTTCTTGAGGAAAAATGTCGTTTCACTTTTAAATGGACGAAATTTAAAAAAAATATATATTTGTTAATGACATTGACAGTATTTTCAATCGGATCTCTTACCAAAATTTCAATTTTTAAGTGCAAAAATATAAACTTATGCAATAATCTACTCATATGTTAAGATCTTACGTACTTATCTCATTACATCTTATTATTAAAAGATTATATCGTTTCATTTGGAATTTTTCCAAATGTCGACCTTTGTATCATGCTTTGATCGTGTAATTATTCCAACTGAAACTCACTCCGCGCGTGTGTATTGCAAGAGCAATTATGCATTGTGTGATACAGTTACTAATATTAATCTAGTAAATTTGCACCAAACTTGACCAAATTAAGACGTGTGCTCAAAGTGTTGAAAATTCCAAGGAAATCTTTAAGAAGCTCCATTATGTAATGAGTGAATCTTTATGAAAAACATACAAGAATGTGAAATTCAACCGAATTATTGTTGATTTTTGCAAAGTCCTAAATTAAATAATAATATTCCTTTCATAAAACTAAAAAAGTTTATCGAATGTTAGATAACAACAAGCACAAGCATATTAATGGTGCTTAAACTTGATTTATCGACAAAAATCAATTGAATAATAATCGGATTTTCTAAAAAATAATGCAAAATTGTGGCTATTAAATCAAAAATGGAACAAAAAAATCAGTCGATATAAAAGAGTTGTTGCGATTCGATCTCGATGAATCTCTTACCTCGGCGAATACTGCCTTTTATTCCATTCCTTTTAAATTTAATTCAATTTTATGCGTCCAATCTATTCATATGTTTTTGAGGCACATAAATATTTGTTTTGGTATGCGCTTTATTTGAATTCATGTTAATTGAGAGAAATATATTGATAGTTGCCAGACAAAAGATTTGAAATTTTACGCACACTGAAAATTCCTTTACAATAAAAATTGAAGAGTATATGTGAAGTATTCATTTCATTGGTCATTTAGTCGGCCTGAAAATGGTGACCAAACAAAACGATATGTGTTATGGTTTGTTCGGTCTTTGAGACATTTCCGTTTTATGGTCGAAATTCTTTTGAAAGTTCAGATGATTCGAATGAAAACGCTGGTACGTATCAAAAGCTGAGAGCAAAAAAAACGAGTCGATTTGAAAAGTGAAAATCATAAATTTGATCGGCATTTATTGGTTGTACGAACATATTCCACAAATGTATTGGAGGAAGAAAGGCAAAATTTTGGCAACCAAAAGCAAATGTGTCTGTTTTATACATATTTTCCGTTGGCCGTAGGTATCATATTCGTTGTTTATTTTTTTCTTTCGAAAAACATAGTAGCAATTCAAAATGCGAGAAAGTTGTGTTTTGTTATGGCACTTCAATTGTGTGTATCACTTGATTTACCAAAATAAACATTAAATTTTTTGGACAAACTTGAGCGCACATTTCTTTTCTCTCTCTCTGCTTGTTTCATCGAACGAAAGTGAATTTACGGTTAAATGATTTCGATTTAATTTTTTTCTTTCGTTCAGTAGCATTGCTCTTCAAATCACATACCAATCCAAATTACAACGCCGAACAATTTGATACAGATAAATGTGTGTATGATGAAATATGGTAGCCATAGAAATTGAGCATTTAGTGTAGAAGCGACAGCCGTGCGAAATTCAAGTGACCTTTTGAGCATTTTGTTTTACAGAACGAGAAAAAGAAATCGCCTTTTAATCAAAGACTTTGAATAGGCTATTTGAAAAATTTGCCGCCAGCTTAAGTCATTGTTTGACTCTGGATGAGTGTGAGAATCTCTTGAATAAGCACATTTTCGATTCGAATGTATTATCTGCTTTTCAACAATATCGAAAAGCAAAAACAAAAACGCAAACATATGTTTAAGGCTCCGTGTTGGCCATAGCGCACATGAAATCATTCTTAGGATATGAATAATTCAGCGAGTGAATGAATATTCAATAATTTCTTTTCTTTGCATTGTGCGTAACATTCAAGAGAAAAAAAAAGAGATTTATTCGTCTATAGGCGATGAAAGCACATCTCATATGCAGTTTTTCTTTTTTCAAATTCACAATGGCATTTTGCTAGCTGGTTTTCATAACATAAAGGAAGAGGTGCATAGCGATTTATTTTTTCTCATTGACGCAATTGTTTCCATTATTCAGTATTTTTTGGTTTTATATATACATATGAAAGAAATGGATCTGGATGATTCTATACGCATTTATATAATAATCTAAATCATAGCTTTTCGTTTGCTATCAAATGGAGCATCTGTTGATGCGACTGTTACGTCGATTATGTACTCAAAAAAGAACAACGATGAGTCGAGAGTAAGAGAGTACACAGTCGTTGGCTTACCAACAAATACAAAAAAAAGTTTATACAATGTACAATTTCTGGAAAGGAACAATAACATCAAAGAAAGTAAAATGTGCATCATGTTTTTGAGCAGTTAAAATTCAAATTTATGAGATATAACAAAATGACACAACACGCTCGCATGTTATTTATAGGCGCAAATTCTCACAAAGAAAATGCGCATGCAAAACCACAAATGTATACAGGAATAGGAGGAACACACAAAAAACGTCACGAATGATGGGTGTTATGCGACGTCGACGGTGATTTTACGTGAAAATTTGCATGTAATTGTGTGTTCATTTGTTTCCGCAAATGTCATTTTGTTCGACACATACCGCCAGCGGATGATTTCATTTAAATGGGCTTTTGATGAAATGTTGATCATTTGTTTTTTTTTTTTCAACGAAACGGCTCTACAGAGCCGAAAATCTTTGATTTCAAAATTAAGGCGAATGCGATGAAAATTTTCGATCGAATCAATTAAATTAATGTAAATGGTAATTTAATTTCCGTTTCATACATGAATGGAATCACTCGAAATGAAAATTTCCGACTCCGAAAATGTTGAAAAATTACCTGAAATGCTCATCATAATTGTATATTTTTGATAGAAAAATATGCTTCAATTATTGTGCTTCATAAAGAAAATAGCGGTGTTTAAGTTTGTACAAAAAAAAATCATTTTGGATTCCACGCATTCATTTTAATTTAATTAGATATGCAGCGAAAGACGGAAATATAATGGTATATTGTTAGGTTCAGTAGTGGCAACGTCGAAGTAGGCGGCATGGCGACGACTACGAAGTGCATGTCGAAAGGTGTGTACTGTGTATGCAATTGTGTGGTCACTTGACCAAGTGTACTCGCGCGCACATGGAAGGAAGAATACGGTGCGTAAAAAAACTAACATTGTTTCGGTTGAAAAATAGCAAATTTTGCCCCATTAAAATCGAATAAAAAAATGCGGCGCTGGAAAACAAAAAAATAAACATAATCCATTTCTATTTATTAATTGGTAACAATTGTGGTTTTTCTTCTTGTTATTATTTTATAGAAAATGCAACAAGAATTAATTGTTATTAAAAAGGCATAGTTTTAACTCGATTTAATTAGCGGTTGATATTCATAATGTTTAAAGTACAGAAATCATTTCTGCGTTTTTTTTTGTTTTCAGACAGGTAGGAGGAAACACAAACTAGATAAATAACTGTTGCCTTTTGTTTCGTTTGCATACTTTGTTAGCAACAAGAAGAATTAAGGCAGTAATTTGCACATAGTTAAGCTTGAAGATTCATTAATTAAATTGAAATTATGTCTTTGTCTTATCCGTTGCATGAAAGAAACGGCGTTCGATTTTATTGGCATGTCAGAGCTTAATAAGTCATTTTGCTAAGTTGTAGCGGAAGTCTTTGATTTATATTGCACTGCAAGACAGAGATTCAAATTAAGTCACAGGGTGTCTCCGTAATTATCAATTATTTAATATGATGCACGGTGTTTTCTTCTTTTTTTTTTCTCATGATGGTATGAATAGAAATCACGTACAACAATTACATTTAAATGTGCCCTGTGCATTTCTACTAATAATCTTTTTGCCATACACATTGAGCAGCTCCGTCATTTCTCATTCACTTATTTCTCTTCTTATGGAAATATCATTTTGAATCGAGCGAGAAAATGAAATTTGTTTGTTTAAGGCGTAAAATTCGTAGGCGTTATCCAAGCCGTTATATATGTGTATATGTTGATGTGGATTAGTTTAAAGATTTGCTGAAGAAGATGCAATTTGGCGTTTGGTTACAATGATTTTCTCTCTGCATCGAATGCATCTCTATATCTCGCGCAATAAGAAATGCGCTTGATTATGATGGCGTTTGGTATGGCTCGTGTATATTGTTTCAAGAAAAATTCATTGTTACACCGTTCTTCTATTGTATTTACCGAGCTCAGTTGGCTGCTAGACAATAGCACAGCTCACAAAATAAGATGGATTCGACTTGTTTTTTTTATATTGTAAGACTTACACTTTCGATAAATAATTTAATGAGCAAATTAGATTGCATGAAAGTGCGCGGCGGTGCACACGGGTGTGAAATGCATGCACGCGCGTACTCGACTTTTTTTAACAGAGACTTTTCCTTTCTTTACACCGATTTTTTCTGAATAGCTAGCAAAAAAAGAAACAAAAATGTGGCATTTGATACACAGCCACGAAAGGCGTCGATGGATCAAAGTAAGCAATCTAAATTAGCAATGGATTAGGTTGTTGATCGATACGAAAGTTGAATTTTGGTGAATGAACCAATATTTGGAACTTCAATTTGGCAAAGAGAAGTAAAAAAACGAGCAGATCGAAATCGATTTTGTGAGAAATTTTTTCGATTTTTCTCCCTACTGCACAACGAATCCCATTACAGCGACACAGTTACATAAATATACACATTCGGAAAAATTGCGTTTCGTTTGATACGCTCTCTCTCTCTCACTCCGATTTCCGATGGCTTTTTTTCTTCTAATCATTACCTGACAATGTTGTGACGTTTATGCAGGATTCGTGTACCAGTCGATGCAGCTGATG